ACAAACCACTTTTGATAAACCCTGGGATGTTAGTAGAAAATTCTGAATTGCATCTGTGTAATTGTTCTTGAGTGTTTATCAATAATGGAAAACGGTTAAGTGTCAGAATAGTCTTATGTAAAAGGAAGAGAAAGAGAAAGAGAATATACAAAGAGAAGACAAAACCTATATATGTTTTTGCGCACACTGGTTTCGGGGCTAAGAACTAGAGCAGATATGCGATGTTCCTTGGTGCCCCCGTATCGAAACGCTTTCATCAGTAGCTCCCAAAGAAGTGTCCGAAACATAACTTATGTGAAGACATGAGAGATATGACGAGATGCTTGAGATCATATTCATGAAGTCAGTAAAGAGATACTGAAGCAAACGGTCTTACTGTTATTAGATACTTTTGAAGTAGAATCCTATTTGAATGAAACTATTTCCATTATGAATCTTGCTTGGTAATGGGCCACGCATTCCGCACCTCATGCACAAGAGGCAAATGCACACTAGTACTGAAACTATATTTTCGTAAAATGAAATGAAAGTTAAGGTATAACGCTTTGATAAAATTATTTCTTTTCCAGCAGTTCCTTGCTGAAGTTATTCCTAATTCCAAAATTCTCTTTTTGAAATCCAGAAAAGAGCAGTTTCTATAATTCTAACTACTTTGGATGCAAGTGTATTAAATATAATAGATCTTGGTATACCGGACGTCTAATTTGGATATCTAGTAACATTGAAGTTTTAATTATCGGTTTTATTATACATAGAAAACTTCATACTACTTTCTCTAAGGTCAATAGTGAGATCCAAAAAATTCATTTGTGAGTCTTTGTAAGCGGTTGCTTCGATTTCTAATGAAGGATGATAAGTTCTCTAAGCTTATTTGTAAACAAAGATACAATACCACTCTCATAGCGTGCAAAATTTCCGTGAATGTAGCGAAATTCCGAAAATTCCGCGAAATTTCCGGAATTTCGCGAAACTTCGCGACATTCCCGGAATTTCGCAACATTCACGGAAATTTTGCACGTTATGAGAGTGGTATTGTAATTGACAGCCGAGGTGCGAGATTTGCTAATTACGGTGCGAGAGTGACCGCATATCACCGCGACTAGCGCTGATGGGCAAATGCTATAAAGTCATTTATATACAACTTTGTGAGCTCTTTCTTTCTATGATAAAAGCGGGATTTGAACTCTTTTATAAGCGAGGGTTTATGAGAAAGCCAATGTACATTTTTATGCATATCTTTGTGGAAAATGGGAACGAAGTGTCCGGATACCCGTATTTGTGTTCATATTCGAAGGGGCTATACCAAAAAATTTACAGGAGAAATGGATGTTAAATACAAAAGAGCTGATCTAAGAACGGTTCTGGACTTGGAAATTTTTCGGTAAACTTTATGATAGATCAAAATGAAATGATAATTCCAGGAGAATAATCAAGACGCTGGCATAGCAATATTTCGATACAACTTTTGATGCGCTATCAGCTGATGAAGAAAGTTGGACAGCAGCATGAATGTGAAGGGGCGCTGCCCTAGAGTATCTGGAGATAGTTTTTCTCAATTTGATCTTTGATCTCTATATATAAATCGGTTTTTCTCAATTTGATCTTTGATCTCTATATATAAATCGGTCAGAAGTGGTTCATTGGTGGTTAGTGGCGGGTTAGTGGCCCAGGCATGGATGGGTTGGAATGGGAAGGTGGGGAAGAAGTGGGTGGAGACTTGGGTGTGGGCGGGGCCAAAAGTGGGCGGAGCTAGCAAATTCCGAAAAAATCCACATTTCTCTAAAATCTATCCACCGTAGTCCTACAGAAAGAAGCTATCTCGCTAATCAGATGTGTTTTTTGTAATCAATGGGTCGGATAACATCTATGGCCTGATTTTGTAAGGAACTAGTAGCACTTGATATTTTCTCGCTCCTCACTCTTGGCCTCGGCGCAAGATTTGGTTCAAAATATTGAGGTTCTCGGATTGACCGGAAACTTCGCTCATAGTGGTTTTTGGTCCCGATCCTTACGAAAATCCTATTTATTTTGCACTAGAGAGTCTTAAAGTAAAGCTGAAGTGGGATAGAAGTGGCTCAACTCACCAAAATCGCAAATTCGCCTGCACTTTTTGCCTATCTATTGCGGAAATTGTCTGCATATTTTTGTGAATTTAAAACTATGTGAAGACCTCTACCGGACCATGCTTAGCGCAGATCTTTATCTGCATTGTTCGTCAGATTATGATGTTACAAAATCGCCTTCTCATGAATTGTCTTTCAAATTCGAAAGTCGTGTAATTTGGCAGATATTCCTATCCTACAATGTGCAACCTGCAACAAAACAATATAAGAAATGTTGTTAACTCGTCGAGTAATACATGTAAGCGGATATTATAAGATTTGCTTCATACATGCATTCGAACATATGACATTGTCATAACTGTGGAAAAGTTTATAGATCACTTCAGCACGAAGGTTTGAGAGAAAAAATTCACAAGCCGTTTCTAATGTTCACCTGCTAGCAGCAGATAAGAAAATTACTGTTTTATCATTTTATCAGCCAGGTACAATACCACTCTCATAACGTGCAAAATTTCCGTGAATGTCGCGAAATTCCGAAAATTCCGCGAAATTTCCGGAAAGTTCGCGGAAATTTCGGAATTTCGCGACATTCACGGAAATTTTGCACGTTATGAGAGTGGTATTGTACGTCTTAGGACATATGTAGTATGTCATCGACGTACCTAAAGGTGTAGTATACGTATATGTTACTATTTCTATCCGTTATATGCTTTCCAATAAAAGAATATTCCATGTATGCCAAAGTAAGATCTGCTATTTGTGGATTACAGGACGCCCCTTGTGGTATTCCCCTAACATGCTTGTGCACCTTCCCTGCGAAATATACGTAGCTATATTCCAATAATACATCTAACATGTATAATATGTCCTCTACTTGGTAGTATTTACCTTTACCCTTCGTATCATTGGAGTATTGAACCTTGCCGTTGTAAAGTTTGACAAATTCATATCCTTTCATGCATAATAAAATGAGTTTCTTAAGATTGGTTCTCACAACATTAGTAGATTCGTGAATAGACTAGAAAAATCTGCCGAGTAGATTTCCAAATTACTAGTGTTACTAATAAGTTCCTGTATGACTTGTCTACTGTTATCAATCGCCCAAAAGTGCTTAACGTTCGTTCCTAGCTTAATGACGTTACAGTAATTGCGGAAATGTTTACGAAAATGCGATAGTATCATCTGAAAAATATTTGATGATGGTCTCAAAGTACTTCTTTTGGCTCCAGTTACAAATCTAACCTAATAGGATCTTTATGCATTTTAGGAATCCCATATCTCCTTGGTATTTCTACAGGGTGTCCCAAAAAAATGTGAACACTGTTTGATCGTTAATAACTCTCTTGCTTTCAAGTCTTTCGCCGAGCTTGAGGAGCCATTTTGTAGAGCGAGTTCAACTTAGATTTACAGCATGGAAAGAATTTTCGATCTTTCACTGTAGGATTACGGCACAAACTTTGAGAAGGAAAGTGAAAGCGATTTTTGCCTCAGGAAGAAAGCAAACAAGCCAAAAACTCTTGTACTGGACTAATCGAAGTCGCCGATTCTGTACATGAAATTTGCACTTTACTGTGATGGTTCCTTCATAAGTTATTTTGTTTTAGGGTAACATTTGTTTTCCCGATGTTCATCAGAAGTCCGATTACACCATTAAAAAAGCTCAAAAACTGGTGAAAAGTTGTATAGTGGAATCAGCACGCCTAAAAACCTCACTACACAAATTTCCAGATTTTCTGAAATTTTTTCCAATAAAAGGCCTATTCCACAGTGGCGCAATATGCTGAAAGTTTTTACCGTAATTCTACAGTAACGAAGAAAGCTCGGAAATTCGTTTCATGCCGAAAATCTAAGTTGAACCTCGTTCTACAGAATGGCTCCTCAAGCCCGGCGAAAGACATGAAAGCAAGAAAGTTATTGACAATCAAACAGTGTTCACATTGTTTTGGGACACCCTGTGTGTAATCATCTCTGTTTTTGATGCTCAACCCGTTTAATTTGCTTCGTTGTATCCCCTTTACTTCTTCTAAATCAAATAGCGTCTGTATGTACGTATTTCCACCTGCCCCTATTCTATCCATTTCTTCTTTTAGCATATGCACATAAAGTTTCTTACATATTACACAAAAATAAGAACTGGCTTTGTCTACAGGGGTAATTACAAAGTATTTATGAATAGAAGATAAACTACTATAGTTATAGTCATCTCCTCCTATTAATTTATTATTGTATGATGAAAATAATTTCGGTTTAAGGCGCTTTTTAGCATATCTTCCGACCTCTAACAAGAGAGTGTTAGCAGTCCTTGTATTAACTTTTGTTAGATTGACTATTTTAGCAACTATATTACGTACTAACTCATCTACCACTTCATTAACATCATTTTTTGAAATTCTGTGATGCTCTAGGGGTCCGTTGATTGCTCAAGAAGAGCTTTTAAAAACTCAATCCAAGCTGTTGAAACTATCGAGTTCGTGCGGTAAGAACAGTGGAAGACCAGGCACCTCTTCTGTGTTGGTTGATATATGCTCATCATTTGATGGTCAGTAAAAAAAACGTCTATTGGAAGTTATCGCCAGACCAATTTACAAAGTTGAAATAAGGCGTATCAAACTACACTCTTTTCTTGATTTTCCGTTCATGAGCTTGAAAATGGGAAGAAAGAACTAAACAACAGAAAATGGATGATTGCGCATATTGTCAAGCTTGTCTGGTTTTTCATAAAAAAAACATCTGGTTAGACTACTTTGTCAAACAATGAACTGTAATTCATCTGTATTACGTAAACTATTACGTAAACATGTTTTTAACTTGATGATGTTGGAAGGCACATTGTTTGAATACTCAACTTACCTCATTTCGAAGCACGTATAGTATTTCCTAGACTGTAGATCTCTTTTTGTGCCCCAAGTAACTATATTCTCTTACAGTACTGAAGCTATGTACAATCAGTCCTTCGAGCCGGAAAACGATGCTGATAACATCGTTGCAGGATTGATAATGATACTGGTAAGATTTGATTTTGGTTGGAACGCACTGTTAATTAGCAATTTCTTGATTTAGACAGGAATGGTCGGCTCCGCAGTTAACTTTGTTGTTATGCTGCTGATAATAAAAACCTCGTCTTTTCACAGCGCATTTGGTTACATATGTTTTTCTCACCTCATTGCATCCAGCGCTGCACTTCTGACGGGTACATTCTGGACAGGACCAGTAACAATTTTGTAAGCTTTGTTGAAAACAGTTTACATATAGTAAAAAATAGTATAAAAAACCAGTTTTAGCAGCTTCAATGAGTCTGTCACAGTCTCGTTCGTCGGCGCAGGATTTGGGCAGTTGATGCATCTCTTCTGGTTTGTGTCCATGTACAGCCACCTTCAAGTCGCCGTGAATCGTCTTATAGCAGTAGCTTGGCCGTTTCTTTACAAGTTAGTCGAACACGGGATTAAAATGAATTAGTTTTACGACAGAGATTCTCATATTATAGTTTGGTCTGCAAGCTTTTCCGCATTACATGCTACTTTGACATGGTAGCCGTAGAGTAAATAGGGTGCTAGGCGGAACAAGCTTTACAAGATGATCTCCAAACATCTGCATAAAACATGATCTACCCAAACTTTGAAGAACCAACCATTTGTTTAGTTCGAAAATCGAATATCGCCCAGAATTCCACACATTTCTACTTGGTCGTTATACATTAGTCCAGGGTCAAGCTTGTGATGCGACTGTCGCAACGGGGGGTCGTAAAGAAGGTACCTAAGGTGGAGTCGTAAGAGGAGGTAGTTAAGCTGAAATACCCTAAGATCAAAAGAGAATCAAAAAGCAGATAATTAGCTATGTTCTTTACAATAAATCTATAAAAAAGTGGAAATCAATGAAAAAGATAAAAAATTCGTGGAAATTCTCAAAAAAACATTTACAAGAGTTCAAAACACTTTTGAAGGATGTATAAATTAATGAAAATACTAAATGTACCGATTGCCCTAAAAGTCTTGCTTCTGAAGCCTTCCTGAAGTCTCACACACTCGACAAAGCGAATATCTTTACCAGCTGTGACCATCATGAATTTCTAAATGTTTTTGTAACGCTTATCACGGGTCCATATGATTTATCTGTACTTAAGATAAGCCCTGCTACTGCTGTGCGAAATCTGGTGTTATTTTATAAACCGTGGATTTTCTTACGATTTTATGTATGGTAGCAAAAAATGAGAAAAGGGGGGTCGTATTTGCGCCTGATCTAAATTTCTCCGGAGCTATTGAAGCTTGTTAGCTGCAAAGTTGCTGTCTCTGGTAAGTTACAAAATTTTAAATCCAAAAATCCCAGTTTTTGCTTTTTAGGATCGCATCTAAATTTGCGAGAGCCTGATCTATATTTTTTCGAGCTCACTGCTCCTCAAGGGCTGAAACTTTTTCTATGGGTAATCTGGGCACTATACTACAGAACCTGTTTAATGCAGCCTCTCAGTCTTTTCCTGGCCTTAGTTACGAATTTTCAAACTACCGTGCTTACGCACGTTCTTGACATCGTTCTGGATGGCGCTAAAGCGTTTTTTCGCAGGAAAAACTGTGCAAGAGGTAGAAAGTAAGCTTCTTAGTCGAAAACATCTTTTGTAGTTCAAGAATGCAATTTTTTTCTCCGTGCAAAAATTTGTGTCGCATACGGGAACCGAATTTGCTGGCCTGAAGTATGCCTGACAATTCAAAAAAAAACTTGCAGAATTTCAAACATGTTGAAGGTGCGTATGTGTGCTACAATGCTGGGCGCACCCAATGGCCTATTCTGCTTCCGAAATCTCACTGAAGTTCTCACGCAGGTGTTTTTTGAGATTGACATACGCTTATGCAGGTTACCGCGATTAATGTGGGCAGGGGAGGTATGGGGGGTAAATGGGAGGGGGGGGAGTAGATGGGGCGGGGGTCGTATGGATGGGTGCCTTTAAGGGGGGGGGTCGTAATTGGGGGTCCTGGATCGCATTAACAAGCTTAACCCTGCATTAGTCACATATTAACATTTGAATATACACTTCCTGCATACGGTGAGAATTCGAAAAAACGAAACGCCATGCTCCTATCAAGATAATTTTAGGTTGTTCCCACTAGTTTGTACTACAGCCCTTTGCAAATAGATCATACATTTTCAGCCTTTGACTAAGGCTGACCTTTGCGAGATAATGTACTCATTGTTAGCACAAAAAAGAAGACGAAGAAGTGGACATTTTTGTATGTTAAGCGTAGTTCCCAATCTTGAGACCAAAAAAATCTAGCAGGTTCATGCATATGATATGATTCCCCCACTTGAAAGCAGTGTCCGGGCAAGAACTCGATTTCTAGTAAATTCAATGACCTGGGGTTATCCCTGAATCTGAAATCACGGAATACGAAAATTCACGTTAGTAGTCGCGAAAACGTCGAGAACTTGCTTAAGCCTTACAATTTGATGCGGGTAAAACACCGCCAAGGTTATAACGCAGAGTTACTGCGGTACCCTACAGTTGTAACTGTAACAGCATGCGTACTCCGCCGCGGAGCAGGATATTCACAGGTGGAAAGGCCCGTACAAGGCGTATGAGCTTTTCGACCGTATTTTTTGCTTTTGGTCAAACGTGCCTCGCATACGCGGTGGCGCGTTCGAGGGGCCATTTTCGCATGACACTGAACTCCCAAAAACCCCAACCTTGTCCGGAACTGCCTTTAAGTAAAGACTAAGGCGGAAGCTCTGAATTTTTGCACGAGATTTGATTTTTGAGCAATGAAATACTTGTGAACCTTGGCTTCAAACATTGCGCGAATCACTATTTGTGCGGATTAGAAGTCGTACAGCTCGTTTTGCTGTATCTAATAATCTCTCTGTGCGATAGCATGTGATGTGACAAAACTTCCGTGCCAACCTGATAATTGTGATAATCCGAATTTAAGAAACGGGTTGGTTATATAAGTCAGCCTTGTCTTAAAACGGCTGCGAAAGATTTTTGCAGTGCAAATACTTACATCCTTGCTCATTTCAGTACGCTATTTACTGGCAGAAGTTTGGTTTGCTTTATTGGATCAGCATGGATCATGTCCTTCCTATTGTCTTCTCCGCACTTCATGTGTAGGTTCACATTCTTTCTGCTCAAAATCTATCTGAAAAATAACAGAAACCTATTCTTTAGATGATTGTTGGCTCTGGTTCGATGTCAAGACAATATCCTGGATAAATCGTGATACGGAGTGTAGTTTTATAATGAACAAAATTTTCTTTTACAATACTATGATCATGTGTGCATTGATAATTTTGATCAACACAAGCACGTTCTACTTCCTACGCAAGAAAATGAAGGTGAATATTTGACTTTTTTGATCAACACATCAGGAACTGCAATTAGTTTGTATTGAAGCAAATGCATTTAGGAGTTGCGAAAGACTGGCGGCATTTTCAAACAGCAAGAAATGGCTCGAATGAAGCGGAATGTTTCGCTTTACATGCAGGTAATGTTGTTGTTAATGTAATGTTATTTCATTTACAGATAGCTGTATCCTGGTCAAAATCGGATGCAAGGTGGCAGATATCAAGTAACCGTTTTTGAGCGAATAAGAAAATAATGTAGATATTTCGAGACTATCCTACATTAGTTGACCAAAAGAAGAAAAATCGCGGATTTCGCTGAAAGGGGGTGCAAACTGATTACGAATAGCATATTTATTTCGCACGGTAATGCCATCCAATGGAGTTACGGTCACGGGTTTGCCCCAAACTTCATCTAGGGGTTATTTGGCACAAGCTGACCATGAACATCATATTCATTTCATACGGTAGCGCCATTTTTTCGGTTTACGGTGGGTATACGGTAGGTGGCTAAGAGTCCCGAATTTGCTAAACTTTTTCTGAAGGGGTTCTTAAGCGCGCTGATTGCAAGTATCATGCTCGTTTGCCTTATTGTTGAAGCTGCTTAAGCCGCTAACGCTGTCAGCGCGGAATTTAGGGTGGAAAGCGTGAGTGGTAATGCATTTGACACCTGAAAACAAGAAAGGAACACGAAAAACGAAGAAGCTTAGCCTTTTTTCACATAACTTCAGCGAAATGGGCGTGCACTGCGCAGTGACCGCAAACCTCACCGACCTTTACGACCAGGTAGAGCCCTATACCGCGTTTCCGAAAATTTGTAATACATTATGCAGTTCCCAAATATAGCAGACAATGATAGAATGTTATATAAAAGCATAGCGACACGGCACTTTTGACACATAATTTATTTATTGCAGTCTCTCAGCTGGCAATGACCATACCATAGCAACGAACATTTAAGCTTGGCGAAAGTCGTGTTTCAACAAACAGAAAACAACAAATATTTGAGCTTTAATTCTTTGGTATGAATCTGCCAACTTGTCGATTAGTAGGCTTATTATCCATGTCTGATACCCAAAAGGAAAGCTCTGATTGCAGAGTCCAAAGGGCTCTCTTGCAGGGGTAAAAGACTTTCGAGCCGGCCGGACCTTTGCATTCAGTAGTGATCAGGGTCAAGCAAGGGGTGTGGCACACGATCGCCGGTCACGACCCCCCCCCCCGATTGCTGTCTTAATAAGACCCCCCCCCTGAACTATATACCTAAGATAGCATTACCAGAGTTGAGAAAGAGGTCAGGCACAAGTCTTTCGAAACCCCTCCCCCTCCCATGAAAGCCCTCAAACGACCCCTTCTTCATCCTCTTAACCTCTGGACCTCAAAATGTGACATTCTGGAGGACACCATCTTTTTCTAGAGAGTTTCAGATTTCTGAGAGCTGTACGCCCGATTTTCTGTGACTGCACTCTACAATCACACGTAATTTGACGGCTGATTTTGATCTGAGTGGGCATATTGAAAGGGCCATAATTTTCTTATGGGTGGGGCGTTCCGCTCCAAATTTCCAATGTAGCAAGAAGAAGCTATGTGCTCAATACTCATACCAGCAATGGAGCGCTTTCTGGATTTTGAAGGCAAGTTAAGGGGGTGCGGCACACCCCCTTAAAAGCTGCGGCAGCCGCAGCTTTTAAGGGGGTGTGCCGCACCCCATTAACTATATCAAAAAACATTTCTAGCGGACAGTATTTATATCAATCGATAGCCTAAATCTTGTAGATTCCATAGGACTGTTTGCAGCCTGATTTGTCTTTTTAGCTCTAAGTAATATTTGGTGAAAGCACAGCGATCAAAGCGAAAAATGGGAAAAACGAGATTTTGGTTGGCTTCTAATTTCACAGTTTGCAAATCTTCTGAAGCGGGATTCCTGAGGTGGACAAAGAAGGAGTAGTGCTTTGTCTCGAGTGCAAAAACGGATAGCTAATTCACCTTTGAAACAAAGTTAACCATGTTGGAATTTGACCATTTCATTTAGGTAGCCTAGTATCTTGAATCTTCAGAATTCGCTCACACTTTGTCTGCAGGGGTTAATTGACATGCTAATTATGGATATGATACGAATATCATGTTATTACTATTATCAGATTACCCAACTACGACCCCCCCCCTTTTGACTCCTCAATACGACCCCCAGGTGTGGCGTGCCGCACCCCACGCTTGACCCTGGTAGTGATTCTATGCGGCTAATCTCATCATTTCGTTATGATGTCTTAAAAACCGTTGATATATTTAGGGTTGCTTTAGTGCGATATTGGTGATAATGGCTGCTACATCGTCTGCTTTCGTACCTAAACTAGCGTCTAACAAATTGCAGCTTGCCATTTTAAGTTCCATAAATTATGAGCTAATCCTTACAAGCTATGGGTGAGTAAACCAGTTGCATTTCAGTATTGATACGTATGTACCAAAGAGACAAATTTCAGGGTCGTTCTTATCATCTTCAACAAGTCATTTCACCAAGTGTTTCGCAAACGCGTAATAATTACAAGGACAATAGCCAATATTAGGAGGAGCGCGTCCACTTAGCAAGCCTTCTGCTGCTGATTGTCCAATATGTAAATTTCAGTGGATGGATCGCTGCTGTATGAATAATTTTGGTTGTTTGAACCATTTTCAAATCTTCAAATTTTCAAGTAAATGAATTGTAGTTGTCGTCAGAGGGATAAAACTACTATGCTAGATCAGAGATCAAGAATTGGTAGATCAGCTATCTCAAGCTTCATGCTTGACTGAGTTATTTGGGAAGAAAAAATTATCTGCTCTTAAGACGATTTCTCAAGCTCATCGCTTCCCCCCTTGCTTCCTGACAGCAACAGTTGTGATGTTGAACATAAATCTGTGCATCACTTAGTACAGCATCTCGAATTTGGTAATTTTTCGGTGGTCCACCTCGTGCAAACCAGAACATAGACGCACCAAAGCGTTTATTAGAGATTACAAACTTCGGTAATTAAATTGTGCACATTGATGCATAAAGTTAAGACACGAATACAAGAGCTATACAAATACAAATGGTAAGCGTTTTTCCTAGGCGCTCTACAGAAGCATAACTGGATCAAAAAGCGATGCGCTTTTAAAATGACAAGAGAAAAAGCTGAGTAAAAGGACTTGTATTGGAAACTTTTCGAAAGTTTCAACCGATGGCGTTGTAGAAGCTTGGATTCTTGGCCGTTGCATTTTATATTTGTTTCCTTTCTACATCGCCTTGACCTGCGCTTCTATAATAATAAATTTACTAGATAATACAATTCACGGAAAACAAAGTGCATGAAAGGTTTGGAAGAAATCGCGCTTAAAAGCCGTGATAGTTGTCTCAGAAAACCGTGTTTGAGCTAAAATATCTTTGAAGAAAGCCCGATGCAAACTGCAATGCCGCTTTTTTGAGCAAGCGCCACAGTCCGCAGAACAAAGGCTTACATAAGCTCTTGGTAGCATTCGATGCAGTTTTTCAGGCTCCAGGCTCCAGGCTCTTTCAAATGGTCATTTTTATAATGCAGATGAAGCAACGAGCTCTCACGAAATTGCTATAAACTGCGACCCATGTTTTTTTACCAAGGTCATTCTCAGCTATTTTTTTAAATTCTTTTACTGATTCCCCGAAAAAGTCCAAGTAACCTGCCGATAGAGCAAACAAAGTAGGAAGCAAAACAATTTCTGCCCTTTCCATAGCTTACTTTGAAAATCTTTCAAAATTATTTTTTCGATGCTATCAAATTCCATATTTGGACAGCATGAATCTCATAGAACAACAGCCGGCGAGCAACCGAGTGTTATTCGGCGCAGCACATGCTCCCCTTTCAGAGACATGTTTTTTTGTTTCTGATTCGAGAAGTCCTGGAGGATAAAATCGACAAAATTCATGTTTTTCAAGGAACCCCTGTCTGTACCCGACAAATTAGAAATTAGATATTTCGAACTCCGGAACGCTCACTTGTTTCGTAAAATTAGTGCCGAAGCCTAATACACTTTGAAAGTATCAAAAATCGAGAATTTAGTGGAGCTTTACGAGTCTGTGTCTGGTATGGGCTCCCAAAATTCGATGGTTTTGTTCAAAATTCTGTCAAAAAATTATGGAGAGCCCTGGGATGGAGATCAAGACTGTTTTGTATCCTACTTTTTTTGCTCTATCCGCAGGTTACTTGGACTTCTTCGGGGATCAGTACAAAAATTTAGAAAAACAGTGGAACTTGACCTAGGTAAAAAGCATGGGTCGCAGTTTATCGCAATTCTCCGATAGCTCATTGTTTTAACTGCTAAATAAAGTTGCTGTTTGAAAGCGCATAAAAAATTGCATCGAATGCTGCCAACAGCTTCTGTAAACCTTTGTTCTGCAGACTGTGGCGTTTGCTCAAAAAAAGCGAAATTACTTTTGGGACGACCTAATAAATTTATGCCGCAGCCGTGCGAAATTGTATACTGTATACAATTTCGATTGTATACAGTATACAATTTGTATACCGAAATTGTATACATGGCTGTTCTATGCGGCAGAGATCCAGTATACAATTTTTTAAGCATTTTCTAAGTCAGAAACTTTCAAAAAATTGTATTCGTAAATCCAATAAACTTATGTTCAACAAATTTAACGCACTGAATGCGACGGATTTATTGCGACGTTTACGTCGCGACATCTTAAATGGAAACATTTCGATCATCATGTGTTCTAAACCGTTAGGTTCTCACCAGCCCAGTGATGTGTTCAATATCTTCTAAATATCTGCTTCAGAATGTTATAACATTTCAATGGTTATTTTTTTTTCATGATAAATGTAGCGACGGAAGTTTTTGGCGCAATCCGTTTTTTTGGAAAGTAAGCGTGCGTATACGTCATTATTGATGAGCCTTTGAGAAAAGCCAGTAAGAGGTATAAGGGAGCTTCCAGACCGCGCCGGTTGCCGCTTTTGCAGCCGTTAGCCGCTTTTGCGCCGGTTGACGCCATTGCAGCCGAAGCGCCCTGGGTCAAAACATTGCCTCCCTGACGCGCGTGCGGCGTAAACTCATTGACAATCTGTTTTCCTGTGTTTTTGCATTTGTTCCCTTTGTTATCGGCTGGCTTCGAGGTGATAGTTGCTCCAGGGAAAGTATTTTGAGGACAGATGCGCTGAATATC